TTCTTTCTAATAGCTCTCTTAAGAACTACGTTTCTTTCTAATAGCTCTCTTTAGAACATGTTTCTTTCTAATAGCTCTCTTTAGAACTACGTTTCTTTCTAATAGCTCTCTTAAGAACTACGTTTCTTTCTAATAGCTCTCTTTAGAACATGTTTCTTTCTAATAGCTCTCTTTAGAACATGTTTCTTTCTAATAGCTCTCTTTAGAACTACGTTTCTTTCTAATAGCTCTCTTAAGAACTACGTTTCTTTCTAATAGCTCTCTTTAGAACATGTTTCTTTCTAATAGCTCTCTTTAGAACTACGTTTCTTTCTAATAGCTCTCTTAAGAACTACGTTTCTTTCTAATAGCTCTCTTAAGAACTAAGTTTCTTTCTAATAGCTCTCTTAAGAACTACGTTTCTTTAGAAATAGATTTTTCCTGAGCTAGGATCTGATCTTCACTTTTTGGGGAAATTCTAAGTGCGTCGAGATTCTAAGAATATTCTCAGGATTTGGCCACAACTGTTCTTTAAAGTTAGAGCTAATCTTTAGGAAGAGTCTGATCCAGAGCAGACCATGAAGACGCAGGCTAAAGGTGGACTCACACAGATGGCAACGCAGTGGCGCCGCCTTAAAAGAGCAAGACCCGAGCAGCGAGAGGTCACGTCACTGTCCACCAATCACAGCCCACCTGGTCTCAGGACACACCAATCACAGCCCACCTGGTCTCAGGACACACCGATCACAGCTCACCTGGTCTCAGGACACACCGATCACAGCTCACCTGGTCTCAGGACACACCAATCACAGCCCACCTGGTCTCAGGACACACCAGTCACAGCCCACCTGGTCTCAGGACACACCAGTCACAGCCCACCTGGTCTCAGGACACATCAAGGACACACAAGAAACAAGTCTTTGTGGAAACTGTTGTTTGGTGTTTTCACTTGAGTTACTGGATCTACAATGTGCGGTTCATGCAAGGCGGCCCAGGAATTTCAGAAGAGTTGGAAGTATTTGCCAAAAATGTAAAGCTTTAACATCTGAGAGAGACCAGAGAGAGACCAGAGAGAGAGACCAGAGAGAGAGACCAGAGAGAGAGACCAGAGAGAGAGACCAGAGAGAGAGACCAGAGAGAGAGACCAGAGAGAGAGACCAGAGAGAGAGACCAGAGAGAGAGACCAGAGAGAGACCAGAGAGAGAGACCAGAGAGAGAGACCAGAGAGAGAGACCAGAGAGAGAGACCAGAGAGAGAGACCAGAGAGAGAGACCAGAGAGAGACCAGAGAGAGAGAGACCAGAGAGAGAGACCAGAGAGAGACCAGAGAGAGAGACCAGAGAGAGAGACCAGAGAGAGACCAGAGAGAGACCAGAGAGAGAGACCAGAGAGAGAGACCAGAGAGAGAGACCAGAGAGAGACATGAGAGAGAGACCAGAGAGAGAGACCAGAGAGAGACATGAGAGAGAGACCAGAGAGAGACATGAGAGAGAGACCAGAGAGAGAGGCCTCCTGTACCATGGCTCCTGTTTTTCAGATGCTGGTCTTACGTAACGTCACATTGTTCCTGCACCATATGCCTCATCGTCTCGCTCACATTTGGCCCAGAGCAGAGACACAGACCTCTGCAGCTTCACCAGGTTTACACTGCACCCGGACCCAGGGAGAGGGGGGAGAGGGGGGGAGAAGAAGGGGTGAGGGAGGAAGAGAGGGGGGAGGCACCATACGCACTCCAGGGGTTAACTCAAAGTGACGGCTCCTGGCTCGCTGCAGCTGGAAAGAGTGTATAGGTCTGAGAGAGAGACCAGAGAGAGACCAGAGAGAGAGACCAGAGAGAGACCAGAGAGAGACCAGAGAGAGAGACCAGAGAGAGACCAGAGAGAGACCAGAGAGAGAGACCAGAGAGAGAGACCAGAGAGGGACCAGAGAGAAACCAGAAAGAGACCAGAGAGAGACCAGAGAGAGAGACCAGAGAGAGACCAGAGAGAGAGACCAGAGAGAGACCAGAGAGAGAGACCAGAGAGAGAGACCAGAGAGAGACCAGAGAGAGACCAGAGAGAAACCAGAGAGAGACCAGAGAGAGACCAGAGAGAGAGACCAGAGAGAGAAACCAGAGAGAGACCAGAGAGAAACCAGAGAGAGACCAGAGAGAGACCAGAGAGGGACCAGAGAGAGACCAGAGAGAGACCAGAGAGAGACCAGAGAGGGACCAGAGAGAGACCAGAGAGAGACCAGAGAGAGACCAGAGAGAGACCAGAGAGGGACCAGAGAGAGAGACCAGAGAGAGACCAGAGAGGGACCAGAGAGAGACCAGAGGGAGAGACCAGAGAGAGACTGTAGCAGGGTCTCTCTCGCTGTAGCAGGGTCTCTCTTGCTGTAGCGGGGTCTCTCTCTTGCTGTAGCAGGATCTCTCTCTTGTTGTAGCAGGGTCTCTCTCGCTGTAGCAGGGTCTCTCTCGCTGTAGCGGGGTCTCTCTCTTGCTGTAGCAGGATCTCTCTCTCGCTGTAGCAGAGCGTGGTTGGATCAAAGAACCATGTATCTCCTCTGTCAGCTGCAGTTCCCTCTGGTTTGGAGACCAGGGATTTTGACGCCACACTTATTTACTGGAAATCAAATGAAATCAAGCAGAAAGTGGGAGGAGGGGGAGGAGGGGGAGGAGGGGGAGGCGCCTGGGGAGATCCTCAGTGTGAGAAGTGCTGCAGAAGACTCTGGATCATGTTATAGTGAGTGTCTCTGGGACACATGGTGCGGAAGGATCACTGTACTGAGATTCTGTCCCAGTGACAACAGCACTGCCTGTAACATGGTCTCTCTCTGGTCTCTCTCTGGTCTCTCTCTCTGGTCTCTCTATGGTCTCTCTCTCTGGTCTCTCTATGGTCTCTCTCTGGTCTCTCTCTCTGGTCTCTCTCTCTGGTCTCTCTCTGGTCTCTCTCTGGTCTCTCTCTCTGGTCTCTCTATGGTCTCTCTCTCTGGTCTCTCTATGGTCTCTCTATGGTCTCTCTCTGGTCTCTCTCTCTGGTCTCTCTCTCTGGTCTCTCTCTGGTCTCTCTCTCTGGTCTCTCTCTCTGGTCTCTCTCTGGTTTCTCTCTGGTCTCTCTCTCTGGTCTCTCTCTGGTCTCTCTCTCTGGTCTCTCTCTGGTTTCTCTCTCTGGTCTCTCTCTCTTGTTTCTCTCTCTGGTCTCTCTCTGGTCTCTCTCTGGTCTCTCTCTGGTCTCTCTCTCTGGTCTCTCTCTGGTCTCTCTCTGGTCTCTCTCTCTGGTCTCTCTATGGTCTCTCTCTCTGGTCTCTCTATGGTCTCTCTCTGGTCTCTCTCTGGTCTCTCTCTGGTCCTCTCTCTCTGGTCTCTCTCTGGTCTCTCTCTCTGGTCTCTCTCTAGTCTCTCTCTAGTCTCTCTCTGGTCTCTCTCTGGTCTCTCTCTGGTCTCTCTCTGGTCTCTCTCTGGTCTCTCTCTCTGGTCTCTCTCTGGTCTCTCTCTCTGGTCTCTCTCTGGTCCTACGTCCTCTGGTGTTGATGCTAACACGAGCGCAGAGCTAATTTTCCAAAACATTAGCGCCGTCAGGAGAACACAGGGCCACGCTCTGGGTCACTGCAACTTCTCTTTCAATAACAAGGAAAACTGAAGAAAAAACTGGTCTGCTCATTTAGTGTTTCTGCGAGAGACCAGAGAGAGACCAGAGAGAGACCAGGGAGAGACCAGAGAGAGACCAGAGAGAGACCAGAGAGAGAGACCAGAGAGAGACCAGAGAGAGACCAGAGAGAGGCCAGGGAGAGACCAGAGAGAGACCAGAGAGAGAGACCAGAGAGAGACCAGAGAGAGAGACCAGAGAGAGACCAGAGAGAGACCAGGGAGAGACCAGAGAGAGACCAGAGAGAGAGACCAGAGAGAGAGACCAGAGAGACCAGAGAGAGACCAGAGAGAGACCAGAGAGAGACCAGAGAGAGACCAGAGAGAGACCAGGGAGAGACCAGAGAGAGACCAGAGAGAGACCAGAGAGAGAGACCAGAGAGAGAGACCAGAGAGAGAGACCAGAGAGAGACCAGAGAGAGAGACCAGAGAGGGACCAGAGAGAGACCAGGGAGAGACCAGAGAGAGACCAGGGAGAGACCAGAGAGAGACCAGAGAGAGAGACCAGAGAGACCAGAGAGAGACCAGAGAGAGACCAGAGAGAGACCAGAGAGAGACCAGGGAGAGACCAGAGAGAGACCAGAGAGAGAGACCAGAGAGACCAGAGAGAGACCAGAGAGAGACCAGAGAGAGAGAGACCAGAGAGAGACCAGAGAGAGACCAGAGAGAGACCAGAGAGACAGAGAGAGAGAGACCAGAGAGAGACCAGAGAGAGAGACCAGAGAGAGAGACCAGAGAGAGACCAGAGAGAGAGACCAGAGAGAGGACCAGAGAGAGACCAGAGAGAGACCAGGAGAGAGACCAGGGAGAGACCAGGGAGAGACCAGAGAGAGACCAGAGAGAGACCAGAGAGAGACCAGAGAGAGACCAGAGTCAGACCAAAGAGAGACCAGAGAGAGAGAGACCAGAGAGAGAGACCAGAGAGAGACCAGAGAGAGAGACCAGAGAGGGACCAGAGAGAGACCAGGGAGAGACCAGGGAGAGACCAGGGAGAGACCAGGGAGAGACCAGAGAGAGACCAGAGAGAGACCAGAGAGAGACCAGAGAGACCAGAGAGACCAGAGAGAGACCAGAGAGAGACCAGAGAGAGACCAGAGAGAGACCAGAGAGAGACCAGAGAGAGACCAGAGACCACAGAGAGACCCCAGAGAGACCAGAGAGAGACCGGTTGAATGTTATGACAACACACGAAGCCGAGCCGTCGATACACGTCCATTACGGCGTTCTAAACAAATTAAACACAACCGTAATAAACCAGTCAGCTCGATACCGCAGCGTGGCGTTCCTCTGCCCGTCTCCGCACACAACATGGCCGCCTCCATTAGCCCGTTCGTCCGTGGCATTGACGTTTCCCCGTGAACCGCCGGCTTCCATTAACGGTGCTATTAACGGCGCTAATGCAAAGTGAAGAAGGCCTTGGAGGTGGACGGCCCCCGCGGGACCTCCCCCCCGTGGCCTCAGCCTCCGGGAGAGTCTGCCGCGTCCAAAGCACCTCCCGAGAGTGAGAGAGAGACCAGAAAGAGACCAGAGAGACCAGAGAGAGACCAGAGAGAGACCAGAGAGAGACCAGAGAGAGACCAGAGAGACCAGAGAGAGACCAGAGAGAGACCAGAGAGAGACCAGAGAGACCAGAGAGACCAGAGAGAGACCAGAGAGAGACCAGAGAGACCAGAGAGAGACCAGAGAGAGACCAGTGTGAGTATTCCACATCTGTCTTCCTGTTGGTGCGACACAGAGATTGAAGCAGAAAGTTGCGGCGGCCATTTTGTGCCTGTGCTTCCATCTGTGTCAGCCGCAGCAGAACGAGGAAGATGGAGCTCCTGCAAAGTGTTATGCTAGGACCAGCACTTTAACAGCCCACTGCATCCATCACTCTGTGCAGGAACGGACGAGGGGGGTAATGTAAGGCAGCGTGGAATTTCTGCTTCTTAGCATAAACAGAGTCAGTGCGAAGGATTGGATTTTGGGCCCGAAAAAGGAATAAAATATAATAGTGCTTTTGTCACTGAGTTATTTCTGCTGGGTTAGAACAAACGGTGTGTCTCCCTCTGGTCTCTCTCTGGTCTCCCTCTGGTCTCTCTCTGGTCTCCCTCTGGTCTCTCTCGGGTCTCTTTCTGGTCTCCCTCTGGTCTCTCTGGTCTCTTTCTGGTCTCCCTCTGGTCTCTCTGGTCTCTTTCTGGTCTCCCTCTGGTCTCCCTCTGGTCTCCCTCTGGTCTCCCTCTGGTCTCCCTCTGGTCTCCCTCTGGTCTCCACAGATTACAGTGCCACCGTCTCTTTCTCTTTTCTATTTTTGTTCCTGGACTTTAAGCTTTTTTCCCTTTTGTCCCAGAGAAACAAATATCTGACTTTAAGGTGCTTTCACACCTGTTGGTCCACTAAAGTGGTTCGCTTGGACCCTAAAGTTGTTACAATGTTGCAGTTCTTAACTAGTTTGGTTCTCATTCACACCAGTGTGTTTGCAAATGAACCAACCACTGTGGATGTTACATATTCTGCCCATGTGGTGGCGCTGTTCACAAAATACTGTGTATTGGATGATGTATGTGAAACCGGATTGATGCAGGATGTGAAGAGGGAAAAATACCAGAAGAAAACAAACTTGTCAGATCCTTAACGATGAACTTTGCTACTCTAGTTTGTGGCTATTTTTTCATCATCGTTGCTTTGTGCCGCACAAATACAGTTGTTCCATGTTTGTATCACAGAGATCAGCACAAGAACACTCTGCGGTTGTTTTTGACTAGTCTATCATATAAAAAAACAATGTGTGTGTTAAAAAGTGAGCTACGCAACAGAGCAGGGCCATATTGAGGCCGGTCTGCGTTCTCACCAGCAGCGAACCAGACTGGAGTCCACATGGAACCGCACCGAGACCAGCTCCCTAAGGTGGTCTCCGTACGGTTCTTTAGTCCGGACCAAATTTAACTGGTCCACTTTCACACCTGCTCAAACGAACCGTACTTGCAGGTGATCCAGACTCCAGTCCGCTTTAAGTGGACTAAATGGTGCAGGTGTGAAAGCACCCTAAAGTTTGAAACTAAGCCCAGAAAAGATTCTCAGAGTCTGGGGTTAATCAGGTCCAAAGGTGTGTGTGTGTGTGTGTGTGTGTGTGTGTGTGTGTGTGTGTGTGTGTGTGTGTGTGTGTGTGTGTGTGTGTGTGTGTGTGTGTGTGTGTGTGTGTGTGTGTGTGTGTGTGTGTGTGTGTGTGTGTGTGTGTGTGTGTGTGTGTGTGTCTGTGTGTGACTCTGTGTATATACAGTGCCTTGCGAAAGTATTCGGCCCCCTTGAACCTTTCAACATTTTGCCACATTTCAGGCTTCAAACATAAAGATATAAAATTTTATTTTTTTTGTCATGAATCAACAACAAGTGGGACACAATCGTGAAGTGGAATGAAATTTGTTGGATAATTTAAACTTTTTTAACAAATAAAAAACTGAAAAGTGGGGCGTGCAATATTATTCGGCCCCTTTACTTTCAGTGCAGCAAACTCAGTCCAGAAGTTCAGTGAGGATCTTTGAATGATCCAATGTTGTCCTAAATGACTGATGATGATAAATAGAATGCACCTGTGTGTAATCAAGTCTCCGTATAAATGCACCTGCTCTTTGATAGTCTCAGGGAGTTCATCCATGATCACTCTGGATGAACTGCAGATAACTACAGCTGAGGTGGGGATGGTGTGTTCAGGGTGATGAGCTGTGTTGCTTTTACGGCAAACATATCGTTTTGCATTGTGGCCAAAAAGTTCGAGTTTGGTTTCATCTGACCAGAGCACCTTCTTCCACATGTTTGGTGTGTCTCCCAGGTGGCTTGTGGCAAACTTTAAACGAGACTTTTTATGGATATCTTTGATCTTCTTCTTGCCACTCTTCCATAAAGGCCAAATTTGTGCAGTGCACGACTGATTGTTGTCCTATGGACAGACTCTCCCACCTCAGCTGTAGTTATCTGCAGTTCATCCAGAGTGATCATGGGCCTCTTGGCTGCATCTCTGATCAGTCTTCTCCTTGTTTGAGATGAAAGTTTGGAGGGACGGCCGGGTCTTGGTAGATTTGCAGTGGTCTGATACTCCTTCCATTTCAATATAATTGCTTGCACAGTGCTCCTTGAGATGTTTAAAGCTTGGGAAATCTTTTTGTATCCAAATCCGGCTTTAAACTTCTCCACAACAGTATCTCGGACCTGCCTGGTGTGTTCCTTTGTCTTCATGGTTCTCTCTGCGCTTTAAACAGAACCCTGAGACTATCAAAGAGCAGGTGCATTTATACGGAGACTTGATTACACACAGGTGCATTCTATTTATCATCATCAGTCATTTAGGACAACATTGGATCATTCAAAGATCCTCACTGAACTTCTGGACTGAGTTTGCTGCACTGAAAGTAAAGGGGCCGAATAATATTGCACGCCCCACTTTTCAGTTTTTTATTTTTTTTAAAAGTTTAAATTATCCAATAAATTTCTTTCCACTTCACGATTGTGTCCCATTTGTTGTTGATTAATGACAAAAAATTAAAATTTTATATCTTTATGTTTGAAGCCTGAAATGTGGCAAAATGTTGAAAGGTTCAAGGGGGCCGAATACTTTCGCAAGGCACTGTATGTGTGTGTCACTGTGTGTGTGTATGTGTGTGTGTGTCACTGTGTGTGTGTGTGTGTGTGTGTGTCACTGTGTGTGTGTATGTGTGTGTGTGTGTGTGTCACTGTGTGTGTGTGTGTGTGTGTGGGTGTCACTGTGTGTGTGTGTGTATATGTGTGTGCGTGTGTGTGTGTGGGTGTCACTGTGTTTGTGTGTATATGTGTGTCACTGTGTGTGTGCGTCTCTGTGTGTGTGTGTGTGTGTGTATCTGTAGACCCAGGCCCAGTTCATATTGAAACCTCAGAGATTGTGTTAGTGTTGATAAAGTTCCATCAGATTGAATGAACAAACGACGTCCTTGACAAACAGAAGCATAAACAAAAGTGGCGTGTTCGCGTCGGACTGATTCTGGACCCACTGAACCGTCTCTGGACCATCTCTGGACCATCTCTGGACCTCGCTCCGACAAACACCAAACCTCTCTGTTTTATGAGCGGACACCACATGGTCCCGGCTCAACAACCATGGTCCTGCCTCGGTCCTGCCTCGGCCCCGCCTAGGCCCTGCCTCGGTCCTGCCTCGGTCCTGCCTCGGCCCCGCCTAGGCCCTGCCTCGGTCCTGCCTCGGTCCTGCCTCGGTCCCTGCCTCGGTCCCTGCCTCGGTCCTGCCTAGGCCCTGCCTCGGTCCTGCCTCGGTCCTGCCTCGGTCCTGCCTCGGTCCTGCCTCGGTCCTGCCTCGGTCCTGCCTCGGTCCTGCCTCGGTCCCTGCCTCGGTCCTGCCTCGGTCCTGCCTCGGTCCTGCCTCGGTCCTGCCTCGGTCCCTGCCTCGGTCCCTGCCTCGGTCCTGCCTCGGTCCCTGCCTCGGTCCTGCCTCGGTCCCTGCCTCGGTCCTGCCTCGGTCCTGCCTCGGTCCTGCCTCGGTCCCTCCCTGCCTCGGTCCTGCCTCGGTCCCTGCCTCGGTCCTGCCTCGGTCCCTCCCTGCCTCGGTCCTGCCTCGGTCCCTGCCTCGGTCCTGCCTCGGTCCCTCCCTGCCTCGGTCCTGCCTCGGTCCCTCCCTGCCTCGGTCCTGCCTCGGTGCTATCTCTTCCTGCTGGTGCGAGATGCTGGTGCGAGATGCTGGTGCGAGATGTTGTGACAGAATATGAAGCAGTGAAGGACGATCCAATCCAAAGATCTGATTGGCCGCAACAGATGACGGGATTAGAACTGTTCAGTCGAAGAGAGACCAGAGAGAGACCAGCGAGAGACCAGAGAGAGACCAGAGAGAGAGACCAGAGAGAGACCAGAGAGAGATCAGAGAGAGACCAGTTAGAGAATAGAGAACGAGAGAAAGAGAGAGAGAGAGACAAGACAGAGACGAGAAAGAGGGACCAAAGAAAGACACCAGAGTGAGACCGAGGACCAGTGAGACACCAGAGGGAGGTCAGAGAGAGACCATGAATCCAACAGCCAAAAGGTTTCCTGCATGACAAACCTCTGCAACATCTCTTTGAACGAGACCTCTGTGTGTTTGTTCCACTGTTACCATCGGAATGAGTCTTTGGAGCCGGAACTCAGCCTCAGGTTAGGGCTCGCTCTGGTCTCATTGTCAGGTTAGGGCTCGCTCTGGTCTCATCGTGGGCTGCTGCAGACTTCCTATAGTTTATGATCCACATTAATGTGTTTCTATAGTAGCAGCATGAGGGCAGTTTGCTGCACAGGCCGGAGACCAGACAGACCAGAGCGAGACCAGAGCGAGACCAGACAGAGACCAGACAGAGACGAGACAGAGACCAGACAGAGACCAGACAGAGACCAGACAGAGACCAGAGCGAGACCAGACAGAGACCAGAGAGAGACCAGAGAGAGACCAGACAGAGACCAGAGAGAGACCAGAGAGAGACCAGAGCGAGACCAGAGCGAGACCAGACAGAGACCAGACAGAGACCAGAGCGAGACCAGAGAGAGACCAGAGCGAGACCAGACAGAGACCAGAGCGAGACCAGAGCGAGACCAGACAGAGACCAGAGCGAGACCAGACAGAGACCAGAGCGAGACCAGAGCGAGACCAGAGCGAGACCAGACAGAGACCAGAGCGAGACCAGAGCGAGACCAGACAGAGACCAGAGAGAGACCAGAGAGAGACCAGAGCGAGACCAGAGCGAGACCAGACAGAGACCAGACAGAGACCAGAGCGAGACCAGAGAGAGACCAGAGCGAGACCAGACAGAGACCAGAGCGAGACCAGAGCGAGACCAGACAGAGACCAGAGCGAGACCAGACAGAGACCAGAGCGAGACCAGAGCGAGACCAGAGCGAGACCAGACAGAGACCAGAGAGAGACCAGACAGAGAGCAGAGAAAGACTAGAAAGAGACCGGAGAGAGACCAGAGAAAGACCAGAGAGAGACCAGACAGAGACCGGAGAGAGACCAGACAGAGACCAGAGAGAGACCAGAGCGAGACCAGAGCGAGACCATAGCGAGACCAGACAGAGACCAGAGCGAGACCAGAGCGAGACCAGACAGAGACCAGAGCGAGACCAGACAGAGACCAGAGCGAGACCAGACAGAGACCAGAGCGAGACCAGAGCGAGACCAGACAGAGACCAGAGAGAGACCAGACAGTGACCAGAAAGGGACCAGAGAGAGACCAGAGAGAGACCAGACAGAGAGCAGAGAAAGACTAGAAAGAGACCGGAGAGAGACCAGAGAAAGACCAGAGAGAGACCAGACAGAGACCGGAGAGAGACCAGAGAGAGACCAGAGAGAGACCAGACAGAGACCCGAGAGAGACCAGAGAGAGGGACCAGTGAGGGATCAGAGAGAGTTTTCTATAAGGTCCTGCACCTCGGGCTCAGAGACTAATTCAAAAATGTTAATTATTTTCTGGTTTCAAAGTGAAAAGCTCTTCACAGCGTTTTGTAAAAAGTTAGAATTAATCATGGGTTTAATGCTAAGAGTTTTCCTCCATTTTGAGGATTTGAGTCTTACTGATGTAATGAGGACTGAAAAGTGTTGTTCTGGTCTCAGCTTCTATCGGCTGGAGAGAAAGACCAGAGAGAGAGACCAGAGAGAGAGACCAGAGAGAGAGACCAGAGAAAGACCAGAGTACTACTACTGCTACTACTACTACTACTACTGCTACTACTGCTTTGCTACTACTACTGCTACTGCTACTGCTGCTACTACTACTACTACTGCTACTGCTACTACTGCTACTACTACTGCTACTACTACTACTACTACTACTACTACTAGGCAAGGCAAGGCAAGGCAAGTTTATTTATATAGCACAATTCATACACAAGGCAATTCAAAGTGCTGAACAAAACAAGAAAGCATTAAAATCATAAATTATCACAGAACATTAAAAAGAAAGATAAAAATATAAAATCCCTCAGTTGTATGCACAGTTAAACAGAACCGTCTTTAACCTGGTTTTAAACATTGTCAGAGAGGAGGCCTGTCTCACATCTTCAGGAAGACTGTTCCAGATTTTAGCAGCATGAATCTGAAAAGCAGCCTCCCCATGTTTAGTTCTGACTCTGGGCACTAACAGGAGTCCAGTCCCTGTGCTCCTCAGAGTCCCAGCAGGAGTCCAGTCCCTGTGCTCCTCAGAGTCCCAGCAGGAGTCCAGTCCCTGTGCTCCTCAGAGTCCCAGCAGGAGTCCAGTCCCTGTGCTCCTCAGAGTCCCAGCAGGAGTCCAGTCCCTGTGCTCCTCAGAGTCCCAGCAGGAGGCCAGTCCCTGTGCTCCTCAGAGTCCCAGCAGGAGGCCAGTCCCTGTGCTCCTCAGAGTCCCAGCAGGAGTCCAGTCCCTGTGCTCCTCAGAGTCCCAGCAGGAGGCCAGTCCCTGTGCTCCTCAGAGTCCCAGCAGGAGTCCAGTCCCTGTGCTCCTCAGAGTCCGGGCTGGTTCATATGGGACTAACATGTCACTAATATATTTTGGTGCGAGGCCATGGAGAGACTTGTAACAAGCAAAGCTGTTTTAAAGTCTATTCTCTGAGCCACAGGAAGCCAGTGCAGAGACCTGAGGACTGGACTAATGTGGTCGTACTTCCTGGTTCTAGTCAGGACTAATATGGTCGTACTTCCTGGTTCTAGTCAGGACTAATGTGGTCGTACTTCCTGGTTCTAGTCAGGACTAATGTGGTCGTACTTCCTGGTTCTAGTCAGGACTAATGTGGTCGTACTTCCTGGTTCTAGTCAGGACTAATGTGGTCGTACTTCCTGGTTCTAGTCAGGACTCGAGCTGCTGCATTTTGAATGTACTGCAGCTGTTTTACAGCCTGTTTGGACAGACCTGTGAGCAGGCCATTGCAGTAGTCTAACCTACTGGAGACAAATGCATGGATAAGAATCTCCAAGTCTGCTTTAGACACTATGTTTTTGATCCAGGCAATGTTTTTTAGATGGTAAAAAGCTGCTGATGTTACTGATTTGATGTGGCTATTAAAATTTAAGTCTGAGTCCAGTATTACCCCTAGATTTCTGACCTTGTTTGAAGGTTTTAGGGAGAGAGACTGTAGGTGACAGATGACGCTCTCTCTTTGTTTCTGGGGACCAAAGACAATCATTTCAGTTTTGTCTGCGTTTAGCTGAAGGAAGTTGTTTTGCATCCACTCACTGATCTGTTGGATACAGTGAAGGAGTGAGTCCACTGGTCCATGTTCTCCTGCAGTCAGTGAGACATAGATCTGAGTGTCGTCTGCATATTTATAATAGGACACTTTGTTTCTGCGTATTAACTGACCTAACGGCAGCATGTAGAGATTGAACAGAAGAGGTCCCAGGATCGACCCCTGTGGTACTCCACAGGTCAGGGCCATATGATCTGAGACACAGTTTCCAATCTCCACAAAGTACTTCCTGTCTTCAAGGTAAGACCTAAACCAACTTAGGGCGGTGCCAGCGACGCCAACCCAGTCCTCTAGTCTCTGTAAGAGGATCTCATGGTCGACGGTGTCAAAGGCAGCACTCAGATCTAACAGGATTAAGATTGAGACTTTGCCTGCGTCAGTGTTCAGCCGGATATCGTTTGTAACCTTAACAAGAGCAGTCTCAGTGCTGTGGTGGGGTCTAAAGCCGGACTGAAACATATCAAATGAGTTGTTGATTATAAGAAATCTAGTAAGCTGTTGGTAGACAACTTTCTCAAGGACTTTCCCCATAAATGGCAGATTTGAGATGGGACGATAGTTGTTAAGTACCGTAGCATCCAGACTGCTCTTTTTTAGCAGGGGCCTGATGACTGCAGTTTTCAGGCCCTTTGGGAATATTCCAGAATGAAGGGACATGTTTACTATCTGTGTGAGTGAAGGTAACAGACTGCTCAGAACAGATTTCAGAAATCTAGTGGGTAGTACATCCAGGCTGCATGTGGAGGAGCTCAAACTGGAGATTATCTCTTGGACAGTTTGATCATTTACAGGTGCAAAGTGAGTTAGCTCAGAGAGCCTTTCTGGCTGTTGGATGGTTATCTGTGGATTGAGACAATGGCGTTTTTGATGCCTTGAACCTTGTCATTGAAAAAATTAGCAAACTCATTGCAATTACGTTTGGAAGTTAGCTCTAATGGCATCTGAACAGGGGGGTTTGTTAATCTATTAACTGTTGAAAACAGAACACGCAGATTGTTGTTGCAGCCTTCAATCATTTCAGAAAAATACCTGCTACTGCTACTACTGCTACTGCTACTGCTACTACTACTACTGCTACTACTACTACTACTACGGCTACTGCTACTTCTAATGCTACTGCTACTGCTACTACTACTACTACTACTACTACTGCTACTACTGCTACTACTACTACTACTACTGCTACTGCTGCTACTACTACGGCTACTGCTACTTCTAATGCTACTGCTACTACTGCTACTACTACTACTACTGCTACTGCTACTCCTAATGTTACTGCTACTACTACTGCTTCTGCTGCTACTACTACAGCTACTGCTACTTCTAATGCTACTGCTACTACTGCTACTGCTACTACTACTGCTACTACTGCTACTACTGCTACTGCTACTGCTACTTCTAATGCTACTGCTACTAATGCTACTGCTACTGCTACTTCTGCTACTA